TTTCAGCTTCCTGCTGATGCACACCCTGGGAGGTTATAGCCCAAGTACCTGAACCCCTGCCACCAACATGGGAGAACAAATGGAGTTCTTGGCTCATGGCTTGAGCTTGGCCCAGCCCCAGCCATTGCGGCCATTTAGGGAGTGAAACAACATATGGCAGACCTGCCTCTCCATGTCTCTCACTTTCAGATAAAATAAAAATTAGTATAAATAGACAGTTCTCAGTGAGCTGTCAGACCCTGTAGTAGGTAACATCTGGTCTCAGTGACCATGTGGGACATATCTCTGTGTCAGATCAGTTCCCCAGCCTTCTGTGGACCCAGGCCATACCACAGGGTATTTAGAGGCCACTGGGGAAATGGAGAGGCCAGGTAGGAAGTCTGAGTGCTGATGTTCCTGGCATAGGAAGGGCCGTAGATGCCAACGAGAATAGCCCCTTAGTTCTACAGATGAGCAAAGGGAGGCTTAGGGAAGCAAAGTAATTTGTCTGTGGCCACGTGGTAGATTGTAGAACTGGAACCAATACCGGTTCTACTGTATGATTCCCATACATCCTACTTTCATTTTATAAGCTTCCAAAATAAAATTTCCAAAGGATATACATGTAACTTAAACTCTGTCTCTGGTGTGCCACAATCTAAATATTTACGAAAACTGAGCTCTGAGCAGAGAGATCATCATTACACAGAGAACATTTACCAAATATCCATTGATTTGTTTACCTGCACCATGCTGGGTGCCAAGGACTTAAAGGAAGAACTGTCCCTGGCCTCGTGGTATCTGAAGTGTGGAGGAGACTTGATGCCTGGGAGATGGGCTGGGATAAGGAAAGGCATGATTCTGTTAACTTACAAGAGGGCTCCTAATGCAGAGGTAGGATTAAGGTGTGTCCCAGAGCTAGTGCCTGAACCTTATGATTTAGGAATTAGGAGAAAAAGGTGGGTGGGGGGGGCATTACAGCCAGTGAGCACTTCTGCCAGGATTGGAGAGAGCTTGGTGTGTTGGTGGGATGGTTTGGAAAATAGAGAGTGGGGTAGATGGGTAGAAGGTATGGCAGGACAGCAGGAGTCAGCTGATGAAGGGCCCTATCAAATCCTATTGTGAGCTGACACTGTGGTGTAGCAGGTAAAGCTGCCTGCAGTGCCCGCATCCCATATGGGCGCTGGTTCGAGTCCTGGCTGCTCCACTTCTGATCCAGCTCTCTGCTATGGCCTGAGAAAGCAGTGGAAGATGGCCCAAGTGCTTGGGCCCCTGCACTGTGTGGGAGAGCCAAAAGAAGCTTGTAGCTCCTGGCTTTGAATCAGCGCAGCCCCAACAGTTGCGGCCATTTGGGGAATGATCCAGCCTCCCTGCCTCTGCCTCTCTGTAACTCCGCCTTTCAAATAAGTAAATCTTAAAAAAAAAAAAAAAAAAAGTCCCATTGTGGAATAATTATTTATTATTTGGTAGGCAGAGAGAGATCTTCCATCTGCTGGTTCACTCCCCAAGTGTCTGCAATGGCGGGGGCTGGACCAGGCTGAAGCCAGGAGCCTGGAATTCCATCTGGGTCTCCTGCATGTATGCTTGGGCCATGTTCTGTTGGTTTCCTTGGTGCAGTATTAGGGAGCTGGATGGGAAGCAGAAGAGCTAGGACTCAGAATTGGCAGGTGGCTTAGCCCACTGGGCCACAGTGCTGGCCTCTGTGTGGTTTTATCTTAATGAGCATGGAATGGCCATGGGAAGATTGTAAGTAGAGGAATCATGTGGTCAGATTTGTATTTTGGAGGAATCCCTCTGGCTGTAGTGAATAGAGATTATGGGAATCTGAGCAGTGCTCCTACAGTGGCCCAGGAGTGCCTTGGTGGGAGTTTGGATAAAATAGGAAAATAGGAAGACAGGAAGGAGAGGGAACTTGAAGTCACTAGGTGTTCCTTTTTTTTTTTCTTTTTTTCTTTTTTTCTTTTTTTTTTTTTTTTTTGACAGGCAGAGTGGACAGTGAGAGAGAGAGAGAGACAGAGAGAAAGGTCTTCCTTTGCCGTTGGTTCACCCTCCAATGGCCGCCGCGGCCGGTGTGTTGTGGCCGGCGCACCGCGCTGATCCGATGGCAGGAGCCAGGTACTTCTGGTCTCCCATGCGGGTGCAGGGCCCAAGCACTTGGACCATCCTCCACTGCACTCCCTGGCCACAGCAGAGAGCTGGCCTGGAAGAGGGGCAACCGGGACAGAATCCGGCGCCCCGACTGGGACTAGAACCTGGTGTGCCGGCGCCACAAGGTGGAGGATTAGCCTAGTGAGCCGCGGCGCCGGCCTCCATTTGTTTTTAGAATCAGCTTAAGTGTTGTGGAAAACCTTGAGATGTCTGTCACACAGGCATTGAATTGGAGACTTCTCTGAAGAAATTCACATTCAGCATCTGTTGAATACTGTGATACTGTTTTCCTGTCCACAGTTGCTCCATGTTTATTTAGGTGTTTCATGTCTTTGCAGGCAGTTTCAGTGTTCTCTGCAAAGATCTTTAGGTTTTGTTAGATGGATACTTTGGTTCCTTAGTGAAATATTTTTTAGAAGTGTATTATCTAATACCTTATTTCTGATCTACAAGTGTGTAATTGGTATTTTGATGGTGATATTGCTAGAAAGTCCTTTAGAAGCTTTCCTAATTTGAGTATCTTTTCTAGCTTCTGTCATCTTTTCTGCAAATAATGAGTTTTACTACTTTTTCTCCTTTAGTTCTTTTTTATTGTCCTATTGTGTTGGCCAGGATTTCTGTTACATCTTGAGTTTACGTGTTGAAAATGAGCATTCTTGAAGCCAGTGCTGTGGTGTAGTAGGTTAAGCCTCTGCCTGTAGAGGCACTGGTTCGTGTCCTGGCTACTCCTCCTACTCCTCTTTCTATCCGGCTCTCTGTGTATGGCCTGGGAAAGCAGCGGAGGATGGCTCAAGTGCTTTGGCCCCTGCACCCGTGAGGGAGACCTGGGGAAGCTCTTGGCTCCTGACTTTGGATCCATCTGGCTCTGTCTGTTGTGGCCATTTGGGGAGTGAACCAGTGGATGGAAGACCTTTCTATCTCTTCTCCCTCTCAATTAAATAAATAGTAATCTTTAAAAAGAGAGAAAGGATTCTTGGGTCCAGTGCTGTGGCGTAGTATGTTAAGCCTCTGGCTGCAGTGCTAGTATCCCATATCCAATCTAGCTCCCTGCTAATGGCCTGGGAAAGCTGTAGAAGGTGGCCCAAGTGCTTGGGCCTCTGCACCCACATGAGAGACCAGGAAGAAGTTCCTGGCTCCTGGCTTTGGATCAGCCTAGTTCTGGCCATTGAGGTCATTTGGGGAGTGAACCAGCTGATAGAAGAGCTTTCTTTTTGTCTCTCCCTCTCTGTAACTCTGCCTCTCAAGTAAATAAATAAATTTAAAAAAAAAAGTGAGCATTCTTTATCTTATTCTTGAATTTAATAGAATGCTTCTAGTGTTTCATCTGGTGTGACACTTGTGCAGGTTTTGGGGCGGTATCTTTCCTTAGGTTAAGGAAATATCCTTTTGTTTCTAGCAGTTTTCTAAGAGTTTTTGTTATGAGCAGGCCTTGAGTTTTATGAAATGTACCTTCTGAGTTTATGGTTCAAAAACACATTCTCTCTTCATGTGTGTGTGAAAGGTTCACTTTGCCAAATTAAATTAGTCACTAGTGTCCCTTTTTTAAAGCTTTATTTTTATTTATTTGAAGGTCAAGTTGCAGAGAGTTCTTACATCTGCTGGTTTACTCCCCAAATGCTTGCAACAGCTGGGACTGGGCTGAGCTAAACCCAGGAGCCAGCAGCTCCGTCCTGGTCTCCCACATAGGTGACAGGGACCCATGTACTTGTGTCACCACTTGTTGCCTTCCAGGTTGCACATTGGCAGGAAGCTGAGTCAGAAGTGGAGGCAGGACTCAAACTCAGACACTGTGATACAGGACGTGGTCAAAGGTGGCTTAACCACTGTGCCACAATGCCCAAAAGTAGTACTGTTTCTAATAGTTAAGGTTGTTTAGTTTTGCGCTCTCTCTCTCTCTCTCTCTCTCGTGCGCTTTTATTTATTTATTTATTTGAAAGGCAGAATTACAGAAAGAGAGAGAGAAGAGATCTTCCATCTGCTTGTTCACTCCCCAGTGGCTGCAGCAGCTGGTGCTGGGCCAGGCTGAACCCAAGAGCCAGGAGCTTCATCCAGGTCACCCACATGGATGCAGGGGCCCAAGGACTTGGGGGCCATCTTTTGCTGCTTTCCCAGGTACATTAGCAGACAGCTGGATTGGAAGTAGAGCAGCCAGAACCCAAACTGGGGCCCAAATGGTATGCCGGTGCTGCAAACACGGCACAACCCCTAGATTTACCTTTTTTTTTTTTTTTAAAGATTGGGGCTGGTGCTGTGGTGCAGTAGGTTAATCCTCTGCCTGAGGCGCTGGCATCCCATATGGGTGCCGGTTCTAGTCCCAGCTGCTCCTCTTCCAATCCAGCTCTCTGCTATGGCCTGGGAAAGCAGCAGAAGATGACCCAAGTCTTTTGGCCTCTGTACCCACGTGGGAGACCTGGAAGAAGCTCCTGGCTCCTGGCTTCAGGTCAGCGCAGTTCTGCCATTGCAGCCATTTGGGGAGTGAACCAGCAGATGGAAGACCTTTTTCTCTGTCTCTCCCTCTTGCTGTCTGTAACTTTATCTCTCAAATAAATAAATAAAATCTTAAAAAAAAAAGATTTACTTATTTATTTGAAAGTCAGAGTTACACAGAGAGAAAGAGAGAGAGAGAGAGAGGTCTTCCATCCGCTGGTTCACTCCCCAGTTGGCCACAATTCTAGCTATTGGTGTGAGTACCTGGAACCACGTTAAGAGAGCACCTCAGACGTTGTGTTCGGTGGACAGGAGGGACGCCGAGGCCCACAGAAGGGAAATGACTGTGTGAGCCCAGGCCTCCTGATCCTCATGGCAACTGGTTGGGGCTGTGGGCGTCCCAGGTCCACATGGCTGTGACCCCTCACCAATGCTTCCTGCCCCAGCAGGTCCAACGGGCGCTCCTCCAAGCGGAGCCTTGGAGGGCAAGGCCGGCACCATTACCTCCAACGAGTGGAGCTCTCCCAACTCCCCTGAGGGGAGCAACGTCTCTGGGGGCAGTCAGGCACTGGACAAGCCCATCGACAACGATGCTGAGGGTGTGTGGAGCCCGGACATCGAGCAGAGCTTCCAGGAGGCCCTGGCCATCTACCCGCCCTGTGGCCGGCGTAAAATCATCCTGTCGGACGAAGGCAAGATGTACGGTAAGGAGCCTCGTGGCCCAGCCCTGGAAGCAAAGCCAAGGCCCGGGGTGGGGGTGGGCTGGGCACGGGAACCTTGGGGAGGCATGGCCTCTTAGAACGTCCACCAGGTGGGCCTTGTGCTCCCCCAACTCCACAGGGATCCCAGGGATGGGGGCATCTGAGGTGAGTGGGACCCCAGGAGTAAGAAGCTGTGGTGGTGGAAAACTTGGAAAGGGGAGTAGAACAGCTCCCTAGAGCAGGCTGGGAAAATCCCACAAGCTGTCCTTCAGGCAAGGGTTTGATCTCCAGGAGTGGAGTCACACCTTGGCTGTGGAGGGTGATGAGGAAGTGGGGGCTCCTTCTGGACTGGACTCATTCCCTCCTGCGTTCACTCACTCACTCGTTCTTGCGTCAAGCCCTCTGTGTATCTGGTGTGCCGTGGCGAGGGGCTGGAGAGCCCACAGTTAGCTGGGGCAGATTGCAGTAAGCCGGACAGGGGGGTCGACCCCACTTCGCTGGTGAGGAAGCCACCTTGGGACTTGAGGCTCTTTCCAGTCCTCTGGTGGAGAAAGGGTGGATACTGATGGTGAGCGGAGGCATGAGGGTGGGATGTGCCGGGGGAGGCAGGTGTTTTGGCTGCACCGCTGTCTCGGGGTCCCCGGTCCCCAGTTGGGAAGCCATCACGTGCTTGCTGGACACTTAGGGGACAGATGATCTCAACACATACGTGTAAGAGGCAGTCAGGGAAGGCCGCGCACTGAAGGCGCTGCAGGTGTGTGGAAGGCCTTGTGGAGATGCAGAGTGTGGTGGGATCAGCACGTGTCATTTGATGGAGCACCACTGTGAGTCGGCAGCTCTGGCTGTTTACTTGTTGGGGTTTTTTTGGAGGTGGGGTAAAATGTCTACAACATAAAATGTACTCTTTTAACCATAATTTTTTAAAAAAGATTTTATTTATTTACTTGAAAGGCAGAGTTACAGAGAGGCACAGGTGGAGAGAGATAGAGAGAGATCTTCCATCTGATGGTTCACTCCCCAAATGGCTGCAGTGGCCGGAGCTGTGCCAATCAGGAGCCAGGAACTTCTTCTTGACTGGGCTCCCACATGGATGCAGAGGCCCCAGGACTTGGGCCAGTTTCTGCTACTTTCCCAACCCAGCAGAGAGCTGGATTGGAAGTGGAGCAGCTGAGACTCAAACTGGTGCCCATGTGGGATGCTGGAACTGCAGGCAGTGGCTTTTACATGCTACGCCACAGCACCAGCCCCTTAACCAGGGTTAGCCATGTTGTGGCAGAATTCCCAGCCTCTCTCAGGCTGATTTTCCATCTTGTGTGTGTACTATGTTTTGCTCACCCATTCTTCTGTTGATGAGCATTTTAATTTCATTTAGTTGTTGTAGAATATATTTCTTTTTTTTTTTTTTAAAGATTTATTTATTTATTTTAAAGGCAGAATTAGAGAGGGAGAACACAGAGAGATCTTCTATCTGCTGATTCATTCCCCAATTGGCTGCAACAGTTGGTGCTGGGCCTGCCTGAAGTTAGGAATCTGGAACTCCATCCAGGTTTCCCACATGGGTGTCAGGGGCCCAAGGCCTTGGATGCATCTTCCTAGGTGCGTTAGCAGGGAGCTGGATCAGAAGTAGCGCAGGGCCTGGTGTTGCAGTGTAACAGGTTAAGCTGCCTCTTGAGATCCCCATATGGGTACCAGTTCAAGTTCTAGCTGCTCCACTTCTGATCTAGCTCCCTGCTAATGTGCCTGGGAGAGTAGTGGAGGATGGCTCAGTCCTTGGGCCTCTGTACCCACCTGGGAGATCTGGAAGAAGCTCCTGGCTCCTGACATTGGCCTGTCTCCTCAGTCCTGTCAAAGATCTTGTTGGGGGGTGGGGTGGGGCAGAGGTTGTGGCATAGCAGGTTGAGCCACTCACTGCCTGCGATGCCCGGATCCTATGTGAATACCAGTTGGAGTCCCAGCTACTCCACTGGCAACCCTGTTACCTGCTTGGGAAACCTGGATGGAGTTGCTCACTCCTGGCTTCAGCCTGGCCCAGCTCTGGCCAGCCCTGGCCGTTTCCACCATTTGGAGAGTGAAACAGCAGATAGAAGACTTCCTCTGTGTTTCCCTGCTTGCTTCCCTTTAATTCTGCCTTTCAAATAGATAAATAAATATTTTGTAAAAAGATCCTTCCAGGGAGGGAAGAATTAGGATCTGTGCTTGCAGATGCAGCAAAGGACTTTCAGAGAAGCCATGAGTTCATCCCTGGGTCTTTGGGGCAGGAGGTGGGGAGTGGGCAGCTCCAGCCCCCAGCTGTCCAGCCCGTGAGCCTGGTGCCACATATTACCTACCCTGAACGGCCTTGCTCCTCTCCCCTGCTCCTGCCTCTGCCTGGCCCTGGCTCAGGTAAGTCAGGCTCAGTGCAACTGGGGGGTCAGGGCACTGGGGGCTGCACTGCAGTGTCTGATGACTCACGCAGCCCCCGCAGCACCTGGCCCTGGCCCGTGGGAGGTGAGGCCCTGCCAGGATCCAAGACTGACGTCTCCTCCGCGTCTCCGCTTACCAGTGGCCCTGGGGAGCCAGGGCCGCGCCTTGCAGGCAGTGGATGGAGGGGCTGTCTGCAGAGCCGACCGTCCAGCTGGGAGGTATAGATAGCTCTGAGCTCACTCCCAGCATGTGTTGGGCCCTCCGAGGAAGGCAGTAGGGATAGGCTGCCCAGCTGACTCAGTCCTCATTCTTCTGGTTGCCTTTCTTCCCTGCCTTCTCTGGAAATCCAGCCAGCTGCCAGCATCCCCAGGAGCCCAGGTCTCCACTGCCCCAAGAGGCCAAGTGGGGCAGTCTGGTGGGCCCAGGTTGGGGCTCAGAGCAGCCTTCTGGACCTGGGGACCTGGCTGTAGCTCCTTGAGGGCAAGGATTAGGCTTGCTCCCAGCCCAGGCCGCGGCACACCAGAGTAGGACACGCTGACCAGGGCCAGGCAGACATGCAGATGACATGCAGAGCAGCATGGCAGATTAACACCTGTTATTTCTGAGCCGAGTCTCCCGCACTTGTTGGCCATGGCCCCGCCTCCAGCACGTCTCACTTTTCTGGGCCCAGGGTGCTGGCCTTCTGCTCACAACTGCCTTCATTTTCTGCCCTGTCACTGTGTGTCCCTCTCCCTGGCACTGCCAGTGGTGGTCACTCTGGTTTCCTTGGGCTAAGCTCAAGCCAGCACCATGTGCAGGCGGTGGGGTGGTGACTGCGAGTGACCTCACTTCCCATTTGCGTTCCCCTTTCCCCACAGCTCAGCACCTTCCTGTGGGTTGCTCTGGGACTTTGAGTCTTTCTTCCTCTCTGTGTCCCAGGCTTGCTGTTCTGATAGCAGACACTCAGTTCTTATTAAATGCTCCCCCTCTCTGAGCCAGGCTGGGGCTGAGGGCTGTGTGGTCCCTGTTCTGTGCAACCTCATGGTCTAAATAAGGGGACAGGCTGGAGGGAGGTGGACCAGCTGGGCAGGCCATGGTGTTGAATGCAGCTGTCTGGAAGGGGGTAGGGCTTGCAGTGGATGGAGGAGGGTGGGTGCTCTGGGCAAGGGGGAAGGCAGTGCGTGAGCTCAGGCTGGAGGCATTGCAACCGATCGGGTCAGAGTGCTGTCAACATGGAGGTTGCTTTGTCCTGAAACAAGCCGCTTGAGAAGGAAACAGGCTTCTTCCAGATCATGGTTTTGAAGGTTTATAGTCCAAGACCAGGCACTCATTCAGCCCCTGGTGAGGATGGTCCTGCTGGCAGAGTCCCCCAGTAGTGCAGAGCATCACGTGGCAAGAGGGAGCCACGTCTGTCTCTCTGAAGCCACTGGGCAGGGCTGGGAGGCATTGACACCGGCATCTCATGTCGGAGCACTGGTTGGAGTCCTGGCTGCTCTGCTTCCAATCCAGCTCCCTGCCAGTGTGCCTGGGAAAAGCAGCAGATGATGGCTCAAGTTCTGGGCCCTTGCCAGCCTTGTTGGAGGCCTGGATGGAGTTTCAGGCTACTACCTTCAGTCCCAGCTTGTTGGTGGTCCATCTGGGGAGTGAACCAGTAGATGGAAGTTTCTCTCTCTCTCTCTCTCTCTCTCTCTCTCTCTCTGTCTCCCCAACCTTGAAAGTAAATAAAAGCCACCAGGCTCCACCCTCCCAATCTAATCCCCCCTCCCGGCCCCACCTCTAAACGCTGTAAACAATTACTTTTCCAGTCTGCTACCGCCATCAATATGGGACTTTGGGTACCAAGCCTTTGACACATGGTTCTTTGGGAAACACTGAAACTGATATCCAAACCACAGTGCCTACTGTCCAAGGTGAAGGGACGTCCTGTGAATGAGTTGCACACAAGTAAGGGGCAGAGCCGGGACGAGACTCCAGCAGTGTTGGGGACTAGAGGCAGGTAGGGCTCTTCTCACTCAGGGGAAGGGACAGAGTTCCGTGAGCTCAGTGGGACGCCTGCCCCTGCGTCCTCAGCAAGGCCTTGTTCCTGGATTCTCCACTTCCCTTTGCTTTGCTATCCCATGGGTTTCCAGCTCCCTACATGCTCCCCTGTGGCCTGCACCTGACTTCCTGCTCCTGGTTCAGTCTACACTTTGCCCTGGCAGCTGCTGTGACCTGGGGCAAGTTCTTTAACCTTTCCCAGCCTCACTTTCCTCATTTAAAATTTTTCTTTCTTTCTTTGTTTTCATTTTATTTGAAAGGCAGAGAGACAGAGATTGTACAACTGCTGATTCGGTCTCATAACAATTAGGGCTGTACCAGGCGGAGACTAGAAGCCAGGAACTCTATCCAGCCTTCCCACATGGGTGGCAGGGACTGTGTCCTCAGGTGTGTGTCAGCAGGTGTGTCCTAAGGTATGTGTCAGCAAGAAGCCAGAATCAGGAGCAGAGCCAGGATTCAAACCCAGGCACTCTGATCTGGGATGTGGGCATCCCAAATGCCATCATTTTAATTTATTTTTTAGATTTATTTATTTATTTGGCAAGCAGAGTTTCAGAGAGAGAGGGAAGACAGAGAGATCTTCT